GGCGCCCTACGGGCACTCGTTCCTCATCCAAGATTCCTTCTGGCAGAGCTTCAGGCCTTGACCTGGCTGCTTATTGTGGGGGCGTATTCGTTGGTTCTGCATCCATGTTGGCCGCGTCTTGGAGCTTCGCAGGGGCCGCCTGGGGGGCAATGTTGGGCAGTGCTGGGGCCATCTTTGTGCCTTCCTTTGAGCAATATCGGAGCATCTTTGGGGCGATTTTGCCCAGGGGGGTCCAGGAGTTGTGGCGAAGGAAACGTAAGAATGTGAATGACGGTGCAAGATTGTTCTGCGCAGTTCTAGCCGCGATGGACATATTTTTCTTGTTCCAGTGTACGCTGCACTATCTTTCTGTCCTGGGGTCACCTTGAGTTGAAATGCAGTCGCGGACTCAAGCGATGATACCGAATATTGCCCCCATTAGTTGTACATGTTGCCTCTGCGTGTTGCACAGCGCTAGCACTGCACGTTGTCAATTACCTCACCAGCTGTGCGAAAGAAAGGTCGGGGAGGCGAAGCGATGAGAAGGAATAGGAGGGGAGAGGAGGAGGCGAGGAGGAGGTGGAGGAGGAGGAGGCGGAGGAAGCGGAGGAGGAGGAGGAGGAGGAGGAGGAGGGGGAGGAGGAGGAGGAGGAGGACCAGGAGGAGGAGGAGGTGGATATGGAGGAGGAGGAGAAGGAGGAGCAGGAGGAGGAGGAGGAGGAGGAGGGAGAGGAGGAGGAGGCTCGCCGTGGCCAGAAGCGCCCCTTCGTTTCTTCTCCGGCGCCCCATGCGGTAGCACGATGACCATGCGACAGGACAGGGCATTCGATGTCTCAATACGCCAAATGCCTCGGGCCTGATTGACCTCGCCTGGATGCACAGTCGAGGCTGACTCGCAGCCCGACCCTGCCAGATCGAGGGTACACGCAGGTCGTTGAAAGTAGGCATTTCTGGATTCCCAGATCCCAATCTTCTTCCAGCGCCGTCCTACTTCAAGAATCGGCATGATGTTGCTGTGCTTTGTTGTTCTCTGGGAGGGCCTGGACCCAATCCACTATGTCCGCCTTCCTACCTCATGTTCTTTCCTACTTCTTCCGACCGACGTGTACGCTAAATGCCTCGGGCCTGATTGACCTCGCCTGGATGTACAGTCGAGGCTGATTCGCAGGCCGACCCTGCCAGATCGAGGGTACCCCTGTGCCCTGTGTTTCGCGATCCCTGCCCTCTGCATTCCTGTGGCAATGTGGCCCTCGGAAGGGTCTCGTGTCTTCTCGCGAGTCCTCAATCCACCCCGACCGTGATCTCTCCTCCCCCCTGCCCGTCGACCCAGAAGGGCAGCCCCCCCCCGCGCGCGCGCCCAGGTGCCGCTGTCCGGAGCCGACGGGGGCGGTTCGCTCTACGGGATGGAGATCGACCCGCACGAGGCGCTCGCGGCCGCGTCGCGCCGGGGAAGGTGGAGGAGGACGGGAGGGAGGATGAGGGGGAGGAGGAGCGGCTCGAGCGTCGGGGTCGATCCCGTGGCGGTGATCTATCCAGATCCACCGCCTGGCAATACGACCTCCCTGGACTCCAGGGGACGGTGGAAGTGAAAGCATGTTCGCCCCAGGGGGTCCGACTAGATTCATGTTCGGCGCCGCCGGGTGGCTGCAGGACACCAGTTCCCGAGGCGACGGTTATGGATCAGGAGGGAAGAAAACACAGACACTATTAATCGTCTACTCCCAGGAAAGTATGGGGAAACTATGCGAAGTGGGGGGGAAGACAAACACCCAGAACATATGGGAACATATGGGGCACCTTTTCGATTCGTGTCTATCCACTTGTGTGCCCTGGGGCCCCTTCGATGGATGCAGGCGCCGCCTCGCATCCGCGGCCGTGCCGCGACTCCGCAGGCCTCGCCGAAGGGGCCGATCGGTCTTCGGCCGAGGCCGGAGCGACCGCCGCCGACGGGGGAGCAGCCCGCTCCACGGAGGGGAGAAGCCGACCCGCACGGGGCGCCGGAGGCCGCCCCTCTGCCTCCTCCTCCTCCTCCTCTGCCTCCTCCTCCTCTTCCTCCTCCTCCTCCTCCTCCTCCTCCTCCTCCTCCTCCTCCTCCCCCTCCTCCCCTCCTCCTCCTCCCCCTCCTCCCCTCCTCCTCTCCTCTTGCTCCTCCTCCTCATCATCCTCCTCCTCCTCCTCCGCCGCCGCTGCCCAGGGACGGGTCGGGAGACTCCCGACCCGTCCCTGGGCAGCGGCGGCGGTGATGGGAGTCCGAGGTGATGGGCCTGCTTTCCACCACCACCACCGCCACCATAAGTTGGAGGGGGAGGGGGGGTCCTCCTCCTGCTCCTCCTCCTTCTTCCTTCTCCTCCTCCTCCTCGTCCTCTTCCTCTTCCTCCTCCTCCTCCTCCTCCTCCTCGTCCTCCTCCTTCTCCTCCTTCCCGCCTCCAGCGTATGGTGGTGGTGGTGGTGGTGGAAAACACGCCCATCACGAGGTCGGGCGGTTCTGGAGCACGTGCGCAGCTCGGTGCTCGAAGGAGAGAAGTAGGACGACGAGGAGGGGCGATGCGGGCGGGGGCGAGGGCGAGGAGGAGGCGGAGTCGGAGGACGACGGCGGCAGCGACGACGGCGACAACCTCAGAATTGACGATGCCGTTCCCGGGGTCAGTGTTGCATCCCGGAGCCAATTTTGATGGCCGCTGGGGCCTCTGAGAGCAATCGCCTCCAGAGGCCAAGCTTGCGGAATCTCGACCAACAGAACCCCTGACCCTCATAACACTTTGTTTTTCCTGCTCGAGAGGTCGCCCCGTGGCCAAGGAGAGGAGGAGGGCAGCAGCAGGGGGGGGGAGGAGGAGAACGGGGGAAAGCAGCCTCAAAAGCAGCAGCGCAAGCGCGGCCGAGCCACGCCTCAGCGCGCCCCGGCTTTGCGGGGCTCGCCCCGCCGTGCGGCCGGGCACACCGTCGCCGCCCGGCCGCCGCGCGGGCCGCCTCAGTGCCCGCGCGGGACCCCCCTGACCTCCTTAGCACACGTAAGGTGGGGACGCGCATCAGCAGAAGTCATGTGCTGTTCGTCAGGGGATCCTGGGCTTCTCGGCTCCGCGCGCGGCGCGGTGGCTTCCCGTGGCCGGCGAAGAAGCTGCTGCGTTCGGGGTGATCTGGGCTCCCCGCCCCGCACCTCGCGCCTGCGGGTTGCAGGGCCGGGTTTCTTGCGAGGGCCGCTTGCGGCCTCGCCCGCACTGCATCGCGCGCCCGCCGCCATTCCGGAGCGCCCTGGAACGCTGTGGGGGCGTCTCGCAACCCAGCCTCGTGGGGTGGAGCGCGAGAAAGCAGCATGCACATAAACTTTCGGAGCTCCGCGCGGATCTCTCGGATCGGCGCTAGAGCCCCCCCGACGGCGTCGCCAGCGCCGCCCCTGGCGCGTTCCGCCCACCAGGGAGGGGGGGGGAGCCAGCCCCGAGCTAGGAAATCTGCGCGGCCCTCCGAAAGTTTACCGTTATGCCGTCCCTTGCTCCTCCACTCGTCGAAGGGGTCGGTCGTTCATCGGTCAAGGGTCGATCGGCAGAGGTGCGAAGATCTGTCGACCGAGCATCGATCGATCGAGGCGGTTCCCCCGAGGTCGGCGTCTCGTGGCCTCTTCTCAAGCTCCTTGGCCTCCAGAAGGGACCTTGGGTGCAAAGCTGCCCCCGAAGAAGGGGGTCGTCGTCGTCGTCGTCGCGTTCGTGTTCGTCGCCCTTCGGGCTCGAGGTTCCAGTTAGTCAGGGCGCTTCGGGGGCCTCCCGTGGAGCTCTCGTCGCAACGGCAAGTTCTGGCCAGAACGTGACTCTTCGCATCCATGACGCGTCTAACGCCTCCCTAGGCCTCCCCGATGGGGTCGGAGTAGATCAGGTCGGAAGATCGCGCCGCATCGCCGATGCATCGGCGATGCGGCTCGATGCGCAGCCCGAATTTATCCATATCGCCGATGCATCGCCGATGCATCGCCGACGTCGTCGATGCATCGCCGAAGCATTGGTGCCTCCATCTGGGAGGCCTCTAACCTCCCTCCGCCACGTCGCCTACATCGAGGACCTTCGGCCACCTCGCTTGCCTCCGCCTTTTTCCCATGTTGGCCTCCTCCTCTCATTCTCCTCCTTATCCTCCGCCTCCTCCTTTGCCTTCTCTCCCCCTCCCCCCCCTCCTCCTCCTCCTCCTCCTCCTCCTCCTCCTCCTCCTCCTCCTCCTCCGCCTCCTCCTTTGCCTTCTCTCCCCCTCCCCCCACTCCACAATTACTCAATATGAATACTACTCTCCCTCTTCCCCTGATGACGTCTTGGGAATATTCGCCCCCCCCCGCGTACTGTTTTTTACACAGGTTTCCCCGGAGTTGGGTTTTCGCCTGCATTTTTTTCCAAAATGCTGCTCTCGCTGAGGCGCCGGCCTCATTTTCGGGCCCCGCTCGTTCCGAATCGTGCTCCCGCTGCAGCGCTGGCATCATTTCCGCCGGCGCCCCGGCTGCACGCCCGAGCCGGCGCCCGGGCCGGCGTTCGGCCGGCCGGCGCCGGAAAATCGAGTTCCGAGGCGGCGCCGAAAAAAGGCCATTCTAATATACATTTTTCTTTTGAAAATGTTGAATTTCTGCTTCCGGCGCCCAGGAGGCCTTCCGGGCCGATTCCGACGCCCAGGCCGGCGCCCGAGCCGGCTGGACGCCCGAGCCGGCGCCCGGGCCGGCGCTCGAGCCGGGTCCGGAGCCGGTTCCGGCCAGCGCCAGAAAATCGAGTTCCGAGGCGGCGCCGGAAAAAGGCCATTCCAATAAATTGTTTCTTTTGAAAATGCTGAATTTCTGCCTTCCCCGGAGTTAGGTTTTCGCGTGCATTTTTTCCCAAAATGCTGCTCTCGCTGAGGCACCGGCCTCATTTTCGGGCCCCGCTCGTTCCGAATCGTGCTCTCGCTGCTGCGCTGGCCTCATTTCCGTACTTCCGCTCGTTCCGAATCGTGCTCCCGCTGCAGCGCTGGCCTCATTTACGCGCTTCCGTTCGTTTCGACTCGTGACTCGTGCTCCCGCTGCAGCGCTGGCTTCATTTCCCGTGCCATGCCACGGCATGCAATGCAATGCTAGGTTGACACTACGCTTCGCGGTGCTCTTCTGCGCCATGCCATGCCGTGCTCTACAATGCATCGCGTACCCTTTCGGGATCATCGCCCTGCTTGACATCCGACTGTGCGAGTAGAGATGGGATCTGCGCCATGGTAAGCGATGGGAGGGAGGGGTAGGATGTCAGATATGACGCGAGCGCACCTAGCTTGCCCCCCTCCCCCTCCCCTTCCCCCCACTCCCCCCTCCTCCTCCTCCTCCTCCTCCTCCTCCTCCTCCTCCTCCTCCTCCTCCTCCTCCTCCTCCTCTTCTTGCATTTGGCACTCCGCCCCGGGTGCCCACCGCTCCCGTCCTGCCTCGTCTCCGGTCGTCCCGCGTCGTGCCAGGGTGCGTGCTGGGCACGGGGGGCGCCCTGCGGCTCCCGTCGGCGGCAGTGCGAGGGTGGAGGCGAGCGAGGCCGACGAATGAGGAGGAGGAGGAGGAGGAGGAGGAGGAGGAGGAGGAGGAGGAGAGGAGGAGGAGGGGGAGGAGGCCGACGAATGAGGAGGAGGAGGAGGAGGAGGCCGACGAATAAGCAGGAGGAGGAGGAGGAGGAGGAGGAGGAGAAGGAGGAGGAGGAGGAGGAGGAGGAGGAGCCCGACGGCGGAGTCCGAGGGCCGTCCTCCCCGACGCCAGCGCGCGAGTTTCCCGCGCAGGGCCGTGTGTGCGCGTCCTCTGCTCCGCGCGCGCGTGCCACGCTGGCGGCCGGCGTGGGCCACCGCGTGGGGTCGCTGCGTCATCTCGCGCGCAAGATCCACGTCTGTCGTCGCGCAAAAAGGGTGTGTGGGGAGGGGGCAGGCCTTCTCAGAGGGCGGCGGGATTTCTTCCGCCGATCTGCTGAGGAGGCGTCAGAGGCTGCTGCGGGGAAGGCGCAGAGAGCTCCTCAGAACGCTGGAGGTCTTCTGGGCCTTTGAGAAAGCCCGCCCCCTGGTCTTCCCCCCCTTGGGCGCTCCGCCGATCATGCTGCATGCTTGAGGCTTCTCCTGCGTCGGGCCTCTTGAGTCATGAGATGACGGACGCTGTGGGCGAGCAAGAGCGGGGAGGCTAAGTCAATTTTGTGATGGATCTCCCAGGGGCCTCTGGGGGAGACCAAAGAGAGAAGACGTTGACGTGGTGCCAAACGGGCAAGAGCGCGCCTTATGGGGGCGCAGATAGTGGCCTGGAGGCTTTCTCGCAGAATTGCCCGACAAGGCTGTGCTGACCGCATTGCTTTCCTACATCATTGCTGATTATCCTGAGTGCGCTCGAGCCCTGTTGCTGCGCAGACTTGTACATACGCGACATACGCCAACACGGGCCGCGTCTGACTTGGGCGCCCAAGGGTGACAGCTTCTTTTGGACGCCGGGGGGCAGCGGTGCCAGGTTCGAGCGGACGTCGGGTCTCCCCTGCCAGCCCTTCAGCGTCCTCGCTCTGCGCTCCTTCCCTCCTTTCTCCCGAGCGCTCCCCTCGGCCGCGCTTTTTTCCGAAAGCCCCCTGGCGCCCAGGTGGTGGAGGAGTTCCGGAAGGCCCTGAAGCTCGACCACCTGCGGGAGGCTCTCCGGCGGGAGCCAGGCGGCGCCGCCTCCGCGCCCTGGCGCGCGCTGGCGGGGCCGGCTCTCTCCCTCTCTCTTTCTCTCTTTCTCTCTGCCTCGGGGCCCTGCGGGGTGAGTGCGGGGCCCACAAGTGCGGTCGGACCGATGAGTGAGGTCGAGGTCGATTCGGGGAGGGTGCCCTGATGTTCTCCGTGCTTGTTGGATGTTCTTGAGTGGGGTACCCTCGGTGCTCCTACTGTCTGGGGTGTTTGGGCCTGCAGAGGGTGTCGTGTACTCGAAGGATGTTATTCTGTCCATGGTCCGGCCGTATGCACCACCACCACACAAGTTCACTCGCCTCATGCCTCTCCCAGAAATGAGGAGGGGAAGAGGAGGGTGGAGGAGGGAGGGGGAATGGTGGTCGTGGTGTATATTCTTGGGATCCGCACTGAGCGGGTAATTAGCTCGTCTGGACATGCCGCAACGGCCGAGCACCCCTGGCGCTGGAGCTCCCCAGCGTGCCAAACACCTCGATCGGCGCTCGTTTTCTCCAGTTACGCTTTGTCTGAGAGGCTCTTGCTTGGTTGTCAATCTTCCGATATACATATATATATAATAATAATAATACACAAATGTGCTCAAATCCATATATATATACACATAATATCGGAGTGAGGGGACCGAACGTTCATTCAGTGGCTGAAGTGGGATTCCCCGATGCGAGTTATTGTTGATGTTGCTGCTGTTGTTGGTGATGGTTTTGTTGTTGCTGGTGCGTTGTTGTTGTTGTTGTTGTTGTTGTTGTTGTTGTTGTTGTTGGTGTTGTTTTTGTTGTTGTTGTTGTTGTTGTTGTTGTTGTTGTTGTTGTTGTTGTTGTTGTTGTTGTTGTTGCTGTATGGGTTGTTGTATGTGTTGTTGTTGTTGTTGTTGCTGTTGCTGCTGTTGTTGTTGCTGCTGTTGCTGTTGGATGTTCATTACTCAGCAATTACTATTGTTGGACCCCCCCCCAGGCTCTTTGGCGCTCTCGCCTCGGCGCCTCGAGCGTTTTTTTGGGGCGCCAAAACCAGCCCCCCAACAGCCACAACGCTCCCGCTCGAGACGTGCTTTTTTACTCAGGGCTGGTGCTCTTGCTCGCCGCCGAACGCCGCCGTCCCAACAAAGCCAACGCTCCCGCTCGAGACTTCTTCCCGTTTTACCTTGGACTGGCGCGCTACTCTTGCTCTCATCGGCGCCGCCCCCAGCAAAACCAACGCTCCCGCTCGAGACTTTTTTTACTCAGAGTCGGTGCTTTTGCCCGCCGCCGAAAACCGCCGTCCCGACAAATCCAGCGCTCCCGCCCAGACGTCCTCTCGGGTTACGCTGGACTGGCGCCCGACTTTCTTTTGAATTGGTGCCGCTCCCAGCAAGAACAACGCTCCCGCTCGAGGCTTCCTCCCTTTTTTCCTGAAAACGGTGCTGTTCCTCGCCGCCGACAGCCCCCGTCCCGACAAGACCACGGCTCCCGCTCGAAGCTTCCTGCCTTCTTACTCAAGGTGGTGTTCCTCTTCGCCGCCGAAAACCGCCGTCCCAACAAAACCAGCGTTCCCGCAGGAGACTTCGTTTTGTTTTGCGCTGGACTAGCGCCCTACTCTCTTCAGCATTGGCGCCGCGCCCAGCAACACCAGCGGCCCTTCTCGAGATTTCCTCCCTTTCTATTCAGGGCCAGGTCCTTGCCTCGCTGCTGACAGCCCCCATCCCCACCAAGGCAATCCTGTCGCTCGATACTTCCTTGTGCTTTACCCTTGGCTGGTGCTCCACTGGCGGTCTCGCATCGGCGCAGCAAGGCGCGGGCATTTGTTTTCGAGGCGGGATGTGTTGAAATTCCTCGGAGGTGTTTGTAAGACCTCATTGGGCGGGAGATCTGGGAATGGGAATAACGGACCCCGCTATAGAACAATAGTCCCCCATGATGGGGATGCTTATCATGATGGTCGCACGCTTCGTGTGGAGACATCGCGCATGAGGGTAAAATGATGGTTGTTGTTGTAGTTGTAGTTGCTGGTGTTGTTGTTGTTGTTGGTGTTGTTGTTGTTGTTGTTGTTGTTGTTGTTGGTGGTGTTGGTGTTGGTGGTGTTATTGGTGTTGTTGATGTTGCTAGTGCTGCTGCTGCTGTTGTTGGTGTTTGTATTTGTTATGGTTGTGGTTGTTGCTGTTGGTGTTGTTGTTGATGTTGTTGTTATTGTTCCTGTTTCCCCACATCCAAAGTGGGGTTCTTGTTTTCTCTGGACACCCCGCGCAGGAACAGGAACCCACCATCATCATCATAATCACTCATTCCTCACTCACTCCCTCACTCACTCATCATCCCTCACACACTCACTCGCTCACTCATTCACTCACTCACTCACTGACTCACTCACTCACTCACTGACTCATCATCACTCACTCACTCACACGCTCATGAACTCACATATGATGATGATGATTATGATGATGATTATGATGATGATGATGATGATGATGATGATGATGATGATGATGACGATGACGATGATGACGATGACGATGATGACGATGACGATGATGATGATGATGATGATGATGATGATGATGATGATGATGATGATGATGATGATGATGATGATGATGATGATGATGATGATGATGATGATGATGATGATGATGATGATGATGATGATGATGATGATGATGATGATGATGAGTGTGCGCGTGAGAGAGTGTGATGATCATCATCATCACCAGTCAGTCAGTCACTCACCCACTCACTCACTCGCCTTGGGCCTCGTGTGTGAGTGAATTGCGAGGAAGTCTCAAGCGGGAGCCCCCTCCGTATGGGGCCCGCGGATCATGTTACTAATTAATCCGAGCGGGTCATCTAATTCCTGTAACTGTCGCCACTTTTGGGCTCTCGCGCTGCCAGAACGACATTTCCAGGCCACGTGGGCCTCGTCTGTGAATGAATTGCGAGGAAGTCTCAAGCGGGGGCCCCCCCGTATGGGGCCCGCGGATCATGTTACTAATCCGAGCGGGTCATCCAATTCCTGTAACTGTCGCCACTTTTGGGCTCTCGCGCTGCCAGAACGCCATTCCCAGGCCACATGCACTCCCGGGCCACATTTTGAATGCCTGGAGCCAACTGTAGGCCACTTCGTGTTCTTCGTGTGCCCAGAACACCACTCCCGGGCCAAATTTTGGATGCCCGGAGCCAACTGTAGGTCTTTTTGCGTTCGTCGTGTTCGCAGAGCGCTGCTATTCCCGGGACGTATCCCCGCGCCAGGGCGAGAAGAAATATACGCAGAAAAGACAGCCAGGACGCCTCACCAACCACGAGGACGACGGTGAGGGCTTTTTCCAGATTCGCCCAGAGGATTCTCATGTGGGGTCCTTCCGTCGGAGTAATTGTTGCTGTTGCTGCTGATT